ATTGTAGTTTACTTTTAGTAAGTCTTTGAGAATTTAGATTTTCTAGTTCATGTTATTTTTTGGTTATTTATAGAAGAAAACGATTTTTCAACATCAATTCTTTGAATAAAATTCTTCTTTTTATCAATTATTTCTTTCATGAATTGCTTGAATAACAAATTTCAAATTTTTTGGTTTAAAAATCATTAATTAACAACTTTAAAAATAACTAACAATTTAATATTTTCATCTTAGAAAATATCAAATTAAGTGTTATGACCAAATACCAGTCTTTGTTTTGATTATTTACTCACTCTAATTTTCTTTAACCAACACTTGCTCTGATAGGAATAATCATTAAAAACTTTATTCATTGAGTTACCAAGTAATGAACAATCTAAACATAACTACAACATTACATTTTTCAATAAGTAACACCTGAATTCTTATTTAACAATAAAATAGCGTAAAAACACAAAGAGTGAATGGCAAATAACAATGCAAGCACACTAACTGTATAAAACAGATAAATTGAAATAACTTATAATATTGAAATAAATACTACAATAGAAAAAGTTTGTTGATAAGTGCAAGAATACGACTAAAAGCTAATACTAAGTGTAAATATTGAAATGAAATAGATAAGTAGAAGTGATAAAGAAGAGAATAACAAGAAAATCAAAAAGAAAGAAGAAAAGCAAAGAAATAATTTTGTGGAATAAATAACAAATTAAAAAAAAGAAATTGTAAAAAGAAAGAAGAAATAGAAATTAAAACCCTTTAAAAAAATAAAAAAAAAAGAAATAAAAGAAAAGAATGAGACCATTAACTGATGAAGAAACAAAATCATTTTTTGAGAAATTAGCTAAGTACATAGGAAGAAACATTCGATTTTTAATAGACAATGAAAATGAAGAATATTGTTTTAGACTACAAAAAGATAGAGTTTATTATGTGAGATTAAGTATTGCAGAACAAGCAACAACAATTGGAAGAGATAATCTGTTAACACTTGGTACTTGTTTTGGGAAATTCACTAAAACAGGGAAATTTAAACTTCACATTACAGCATTACCATATCTAGCACAATATTGTTCATGCAAAATATGGGTCAAAGCAGAAGCAGAAACATCATTTTTATATGGAAATCATTTAGTTAAAAATGGAATAAGTAAAATAACGGATAACATGGCAAGAAATATTGGATGTGTTATGTTTAATGAAAATGATATTGCAATTGGATTTGGAACAACAGCATGTTCATCAGTAGAATATTCTCGACTAAGTGCAACAGGGATTGTTTGTTATAATCAAGGAGATTTAGGAGAATATTTAAGAGAAGAAGATACAATGATGGTCCAGAATTAAAGAATAAAAATAAGAATTTTGATTATTTTGATTGAAATCATTTTTATATTTCTTC